TTGTTTTTGATGTCTCGTTTATAGGCCATTTCCGAGTTACCTTGAGCCTCTGTTTCAAAACGAGTCCTTGCGCAAAAACCTCTCATATGAAAATGAGTTTGAATTTCATGAAGAATCTATAGGGGGAATACACTTTCATGTGAATTGTTTCGCACAAGTTTCGTTTGGACGTAAAAGGCAACTCAGAAATGGTCTTTAGCAATGAATTTTTTTGGATGCGTATAAATATGCAATTGTATTTTATGCAGTTTGTTAATTTTTGATACCTGCACTTATCAAAATCACCTTAAACCGATAAGTGTTCAGTCACTTTCCTTCAACGTCTATTATTAATATAGTAGAATCTCGCTATTTTCCTAAATCACACTTGTTGAGGAAAATATTATTATCGTGAAGGCAAAGAAAATTACAATTACCCATAAGGCATTGTATCTCCTAGGCAGTTGCTGTTAGAAATAAATTTCTGCCTCGGTTCCAGGGTGAGGTTCGTGACCATGCTGTTGTTCCACCACGCTTCTTTGTATAACGCTGCCCCCTTGAACGCGGGCATGCTAAAGATTGACTGGAACGCGGGCTCACGATGAATTTTTTCCGCTACTTCTCCTTTGATCTTCATGAAAGCAACAGGATGTGTCGCGATGACGATCTTTTTAGCAGAAACAGCCAGCTTTAAGGTTGTTATAATGTACTTTGTTTCAATCTTTTCAATGGAAGACACTTCGCTATTCTTATACAACAGTCCTCCATGAAGTTGTACTGAAGACACCAGTGCGTCTACAACTTCAGACATGCCTTTTAACGGTCGCTGATGTTTGCTTGAAATAGGCAGTTTTAAATACTCTATATATTGCGCAGGGTTTATGGGCTCGGTATAGTCTCCTTTAAACCCGTAGGCGTCCGATAAAAATTCTGCCCCCTCGGGGGAGAGATAGTACGACATATACGAATCCACTGAAGCGAAAGACGGTGCAGTGGACACATATTCGTCTCTGAAAGCATAGCTTGCCATTTCGTTTCTTGTCATGTTCTTGAATTTTCCTTTGTTCAGCGTAGGAAAGGCTTGGTTTTTGATTGTCATACTGTTAGTAGAAAATACCCCGCGGGTTTCCTCGATACTTGGGTAATGATAATCCCACTTGATGGTCGAAATGTTCAATCTCTGAATAAGCTTTCTAAGAAGAAGAAAAAAAATCCGACGTCACGTTTTTGAAAAAGCTACAAGGCTATATGATATTGACACATTTTTAGGAGGGGAGTAGCCTGGCCACAGAACCTCTATTTTGTCTTGAGTTCGTCAAGATCGTAAGCAAAAGTATTAAACGCAGGGGGTTTAATTGAAAAATAAACGTCTGCGGACTGATCAGAGGGTGAGCGACATACGTGGCCATAGTTTAGTAGGTCACGCTAATGTCACGCCATGTCGAGAACCATAGGTAACGCTAGAATTACCTAAGTTGGTCACCTTTATCAATATTATTCTGCGAAGAAGCTGTACTCTTAATATCATTTACGATATGGGGTAAGTGGTGGAGAAGGACTGTACAAAACCGACAGAGGCAAATTTTTCTTGGCAGCTGATTCAATGGCTTTATAACTTTGATGCAACCATTTTTTCATTTTTTCAAGAGAATAAACATTTTAAGCGACGTGTAACGGAATATCCATGAAGAGCACATCAAG